AACGCTGTGCTGGGTGGGTGGAACGCCTGGAGGAAGGGCTGTGCTGAGTGGTGGTTGACGCATGCGGGCGGTCCCACTGGGGCCTTCGGTGGAGCTCCCTACGGGGCCACGAAACGCTGTACTGGGCGGATGAAACGCAGGGAAGAAGGGCTGTGCTGGGTGGTGGTTTGCGCATGCGGGCGGTCCCACTGGGACCTTCGGTGGAGCTCCCTATGGGGCCACGAGCGCTGTGCTGGGTGGGTGAAACGCAGAGAGGAAGGGCTGTGCCAGGTGGTGGTTGACGCATGCGGGCGGTCCCACTGGCACATTCGGTGGAGCTCCCTATGGGGTCACGAAGCGCTGTGCTGGCAGGTGAAACGCAGGGAAGAAGGGCTGTGCTGGGTGCTGGTTGACGCATGCGGGCGGTCCCACTGGCACCTTCGGTGGAGCTCCCTATGGGGCCACGAACGCTGTGCTGGGTGGGTGGAACGCCCGGAGGAAAGGCTGTGCTGGGTGGTGGTTGACGCATGCGGGCGGTCCCACTGGGACCTTCGGTGGAGTTCCCTAGGGGGCCACGAAACGCTGTACTGGGTGGGTGGAACGCCCGGAGGATAGGCTGTGCTGGGTGCTGGTTGCCGCATGCGGGCGGTCCCAATGGCACCTTCGGTGGAGCTCCCTATGGGGCCACGAAGCTTTGTACTGGTGGGTGAAACGCAGGTAGGAAGGGCTGTGCTGGGTGGTGGTTGATGCATGCGGGCGGTCCCACTGGGACCTTCGGTGGAGCTCCCTACGGGGCCACGGTGGGTGAAACGCAGGGAGGATTGGGGAAGGGGAGGAGCGAGGGACGAGGGAGGAGGAAGAATCGCGGGGACCGTTTCTTCAAAACGAGGACCCAACACCACAGTATGGTTGGGAAAAATGTTCGAAAAATGAGCAACAATAGTCAAAAAGATCGTCTCCAGACTATTTGTTTGACTATCTTTGAGTATTCCTCCTGTTGAGGGACAGGCCCGACTTCAATCTACCCCCCTCCCTCCAAGTTTAGTCAGCACTTCGGAGAGAGCTTTTGAAGTTTCGCGGGTTTTTTTGTGGGTCGGCCTCGACCCCTCTCGGGCCCACCAAGCCCCCTGCGACGCCTCCAGCGCCGCCACCGGCGCGCTCCGCGCGCCGGGGATCAAAGGCAACGACAGGGGGGGATAGGCATAGGGGGGGATGCATCGACCCCCAATCGCCCTTTGATCGCAGATAGGGTCCTGATCGCCCCAATCCGTCCAGGAAGGTGCGGATTCACTATCGGGGGCTTATCGCCGATCTGTTGGCGATGTATCGCCGATTCCAGGTCGATGCATCCCCCCCTATGCCAGTCCCCCCGTATCGTTGCCCCTCAAGGGAAGGGGCGTGGGGAGGAGTGGGGTTCAGCGCTGATCCAAGACATCCCCGCGGACCTTCGAAAAGTGGTGCTTATGCCTTTTTGTTGCTCTTCTAACGTCAGCGTCTATGTGGGAGACGACCTGACAGCCTCGGCAAGGCTTAGGGTCCTTGACATCCTTCGTCGCGAAGAGATCGAGATGTCTACCTTTTTCCTTCAGTTTCGGGGGCGCGGGGACGTCAAGAAAAGACCACGGCTGATAAATCCATCCCGGGGAGGGGGGCAGGAGTTCCGGGGGCCCCTGTCACGAACAAGTCGCGACGGTGGAGGTCCGGGGTTGCGCACAGACAGCCCTCGATAGCCTGGGGCGGTCTTAGCACCCAGCGCCGCTTCCGGCGGCTCCCCCCAGTGTGCCACGCGTCCAGGGATTGGGGTGCCGAGACCGGCCCAGACCATCCTGGAGGCCTGATGAGGGGCCAGCCAGGGCTACCTCCGGGGGCTGTCCGCATGCAAGCCCAAGCCTTGCCGTGACAGCTTGGCACGTGGAGCTGAGATTCAACAGGCTTACCAGCCACCACTCCCAGGCACCCCTTTCGACACTCTGGCGTCCTCCACGATCCAGCCGATCTGGCGCGGTGGAATTGGAGCTATTATGGTGGGAAGATTGGACTAGAGGGGACCTGATGTGGGAAAGAGCGTCTTCTGAGTACGCTTGGAGGCAGTCAGGGGGGGTGTCCTACTTTCCCTCCTCTCTCAAAAGTGGGCAGGGGAGGTCCAACCCCCCGCCCTCCCCAGAGGGAACTTCTGGTGCGGTGGTGGGGGTTCGAGCCCCCCCCTTCAAGTCGAGGGGGGATGGTCCACCCCCCCTCGCCCCAGGCGTTGGCCCTGGCGCCGGCAAACGGCGACGGCGACGACGACGACGACGACGGCCACCACGACCACGACCACGACCACGATCACGACCACGACCACGACCACGACGACGACGACGACGAGGACGAGGACGACGACGACGACGACGACGGACGGACGGACGGTGACGATGACGCCGACGAGGAGGACGAGTACGACGACGACGACGAGAACGACGGGGACGACGACGAGAACGAGGACGACGATGACGACGACGACGACGACGACGATGGCGATAACGACGAAGACGGCGGCGACGACGGCGACGACGAGGACGACGACGACGACGAGGACGAGAACGGCGACGACGACGACGAGGACGATGACGACGACGACGACGACGACGACGACGACGACGACGACGACGACGACGACGATGGCGACGACGACGAGGACGAGTTCGACGAGGACGATGACGATGACGACGACGACGACGGCGACGACGACGACGATGACGACGAGGACGAGTTCGACGATGACGACGACGACGACGACGACGGTGACGACGACGACGAGGACGAGGACGGGGACGAGGGCGACGATGACGAGGACGATGACGAGGACGAAACGACGACGACGACGAGAACGAGTGCAGGACGAGTGCGACAACGACGACGACGATGACGAGGATGGTGACGACGACGACGACGACGGCGGCGGCGGCGGCGACGACGACGACGACGACGAGGAGGTCGACGACGATGAAGACGACGATGACGACGACGAGGACGACGAGGACGACCACGACGACGAGGACGAGGACGACGACGACGACGAGGACGACGACGATGACGACGACGACGACGACGTCGAGGACGACGACGACGACGACGACGTCGAGGACGACGGTGACGACGACGACGAGGACGACGACGGCGACGACGACGACGACGACGAGGACGAAGAGAACGACGTCGACGACGACGACGACGAGGACGGTGACGACTACGACGACGATGACGAGGACGACGACGATGACGAGGACGACGACGAGGACGAGGATGACGCCGACGACGACGAGGACGAGTTCGAGGACGACGACGACGAGGACGACGACGACGACGACGGCGACGGACGGACGACGACGACGACGACGACGAGGGTGAGTACGAGGACGACGACGACGAGAACGAGGACGTCGACGAGGACTACGACGAGAACCATGACAACGACGATGACGGCGACGACAAAGAGGACGAGAGCGACAACGACGACGACGACGAGGACGAGGACAACGACGAAGACGAGGACGAGGACGAGGACGACTTCGACGAGGACGACGACAACGACGACGAGGATGAGGACGACGTCGACGACGAAGTCGACGACGACATCGAAGACGAGGACGACTTCGACGATGTCGACGACGACGCCGACGCCGACGACGACGACGCCGACGACGCCGACGACGACGCCGACGACGACGACGAGGACGACGAGGACGAGGACAACGACGAAGACGAGGACGAGGACGAGGACGACTTCGACGAGGACGACGACAACGACGACGAGGATGAGGACGACGTCGACGACGAAGTCGACGACGACATCGAAGACGAGGACGACTTCGACGATGTCGACGACGACGCCGACGCCGACGACGACGACGCCGACGACGCCGACGACGACGCCGACGACGACGACGACGAGGACGAGGACGACGACGACGACCACGACGAGGGAGGGAGGTCACCTCCCTCTCACTATCGGAGGGGGGTGTTATCGCCGCGGAGAGGGGCGAGGAGGGGGGCGTTTCCAGAGCGGGGCAGATTTGGGATCTTGCACCAAGACAGCGCCGAGGGTACACAGAAGACACCTCACACGCTCTTTGATCCCCCCGGGGTCAGCGAATACCCTGCGAGCGCCCCGTTCACGGGAGGGCCCGACGGCTCGCTCTCCGCGGCCGACTTCTCCCTCTACGTTCTGCTGCGGTTCGGCGAGGAGTTTCCGTCGAAGCCGCCGAGGCTGAAGTTCTTGTCGCCGTGGACCAACCACCAGCACCTCTGGGGCGATAGGATCTGTCATTCGTTGCTCTCGGACGACTTCCTGGACTTCTTCCGCGAGCGCAGAACCCACGGCACGAGCATGTGGAACGCGGCGTGCGCACTGGCGGACGACGAGGGCGTTGGAGGCATGCCGAGATACCTCGCGACGCTGCGGGAGTTCCTCTCCAACGACTGCGACTACGACGAGGAGAAGCACGTCAAATACGACGCCGACTCCCTGCAGCAGGACGTTCAGGTGCAGCGCGCCTTCCTGCCAGCAGGCCTGGAGGGGCTCGAGCCTCTCACGGCGCCCGCCGAGCGGGGCGCCGCCGCTGCCTGCGCCGCGGCGCCCCCGGCGGAGGCCGAGGCCGCGTGGGGCACGGACTTCTTCCTGAAGAGCCCGCTGGTGCCCGGGAGCCCCGAGGCGCACCCCTTCGGCAGCAAGTCACGGAAGCCTGGCATTCCCTCGCAATTCCGTCTTCGGCGTCGATCGGCGTCGAGTAGCGTCTGGGAGCCGATGGGGCAATTCGCGCCGAGCTAGTGTCGATGATCGTCGATTTAGCGGTGTAGCGCCGATCAGCGTCGACACAGCGTCGATTCGCAGTAGCCGACGAGATGGTATGGGAGGCTCCCCTGAGTTGCCACCGAAGCGCACCCCTGCTTCGACGTGTCCATAGGGCAGGGCCGGGTGCCCTCGCTGTCGACGGCCATGGCGTGCCTGAGCCCGGGCAGCTTCCAGCTGGGGGCGCGCACCACGGACTTCGGCTCCAGCGCCGCGGTCGCTCTGCCGCCCCCGAGGGCCAGATGGGCAGGGCTCGTTTCGGGTCCCACGAGTCGGTTTGATTCGACTTGGATGGCTTCTTGGGATTTCGATTTTGGCTCCGATTTCTCAGTGGACGCATACTAGCCTGACGATGTCCGCCGATTCGTTTTTTCCCAACTTGGCCGCCTGTTTTTGCCGATCCGATCATGTCGATCGCGGGTCTGGCTCATCGATTCGATCTGGTCTCTCCTGGACTGGCCACGCAGCAAAACGGTGTCGTCTGCGCCGACCTTCGCGCGCAAGCTGCCCGCGTAAGGTCGCGCGTAAACGCCCCAGTCTCCAATGTGGCATGCCGCGGTGACGGCCCGCGTGAGCCACCGCGAGAGGTCGCTACTGTAGGTTCATGCGGCCTTAGCGCGCCAGCGACGCCAGCGAACGTGTTTCAAGGTTGAATTTTGGGAAGCACCGATGGACACGGTAACGCTGTTGGACCCGACGGAAATCGACCTTGAGCGATCGGGGCCGCGATCGATTCAAGGTTGAACGATCGACGCGGTGTCACAAACTTTTGCGCGCGGCAACGCCGCACGAACCTACCGTATGTCGTCTCGCGCAGGACCCCTTTCATCTTTTCGTCGCTCACATGGCCCTGGGCTCAGCCACACCCAGACCTCCAACGCCTCGAACAAGGTCAGGTCGGCGACACCCCGACATGCTGATATATTCAATCGCTTCGCTCATTCTGCCGGCCCATATTGCATGATCGCTACTGCTTCGCCGTGGGCTCGGGGCCATTGTGGCGCCGCCGAGGAGGAGGAGGAGGAGGAACAAGAGGATGGGGAAGGGGAGGGGAGGAGGAGGAGGAGAGGATGAGAAGGAGAGGAGGAGGATGGAAGTAGGAGGAGGAGGAGGAGGAAGAGGAGGGGGCGGAGGAGGAAGCCTCTCGTTGGCACCTTGTGTTGCTCTTGGGGCCAAACAGGTTCGTCGTCAAGATACTTCTTTGGGAGGCCTCTTGGGGTCTCTTGAGAAGCCGTTCGGGGGCGCCTGGGAGGCATTTTTGAAGCCGTCTGGGCCTCTTGGGGCCTCTTTTGGGTCTCTTGGGGGCCTCCTGGGGCCTCTTGGGGGCCTCTTGGCGGCATCTTGGGGCCTCTTGGGGGCCTCTCGGAGCCTCCTGGGGCCCTCTTGGGGCGGAAGGCTCGAGGTTTCGGTTCGTGGTCCCCCTCTTGGACGAGATTCGGTCTCTTTACAACCAGAACAACCACTTTACAACCAGATGGGTTACTTTACAACCAACATAGGATTAGAAAGTATGGTTTTTCATCGAGAGGGTCCACTTTGCAACCAGAACGGCCCACTTTACAACCAGAACGGACCACTTTACAACCAGAACAGGCCACTTTACAACCAGAACGGACCACTTTACAACCAGCTCAGAGTGGCCGTGCGTGTTTGGGCGTTCCGCAAAGTGCTCCAGAGCAAGTGGGCGCTCTGAAAAATGCCCCAGAGCAAGTGGGCGCTCTGAAAAATGCCCCAGAGCAAGTGGGCGCTCTCAAAAGTGCTCCAGGGCGCGCGGACGTGCTGAAAAGTGCTCCAGAGCACGTGGGCGCTCTGGAGCCCGAGCGCCTGAACTCTTTGCGCAGGCCCCAGCGATGCCTTTGAGCCCGAGCGCCTGAACGCCCTGCGCAGGCCCCAGCGATACCTCTGAGCCCGAGGACCTGGGCGCTCTGCGCAGGCCCCAACGATGCCTCGGAGCCCGAGGACCTGGACGCTCTGCGCAGGCCCCAGCGATGCCTCTGAGCCCGAGCGCCTGGACGCTCTGCGCAGGCCCCAGCGATGCCTCTGAGTCCGAGCGCCTGGACGCTCTGGCGCTCTGAGCCCAGCAGACTAAGACAGGGCTTGCTAGCAGGGGCCAAGCGGCCTCAACAAGGGCCCCGTGCTCGCACGGGAATAAGGCGACAGCATACGTAGGAAGGCTCAGGGCGACGCGCTGCCCATTTTAGGGACCACTCACAGGAAGCGAGCCCAGTGGCCTCCACAAGGGCCCAGCGCTCCAGGGAACGAGGCCATTGGCACCGCGGGTCTCTTGGGCCACGTTGGCCCCTGAAGCCCCACGGTGTTCTGCAAGGGGCTCAGTGCTCCAGCTCCAGTTGGCCCCCTGCTGCTCCTCTTCTTGGAAGATCGAGGTTCAACGTTCCGAATAAATGCAACTATTTCGAAGATCGTTCCTTCCAGCGTCAGCCACAGCGCCAGCGCAGCAACGCAGGTATCCTGCTCGGGCAGCAGCCTCAGCCACCGTGCCAGCGCAGCAGCTTGAGCCACCGTGACAGCGCATCACCGCCACCTTTGTGCCTGCTACCACCAAACTTACCGCTGCAGCCCCGCTACCTCCACAATTCCGACTGACCCCCCGCTACCACCGCAAATCCCATTGCAGCCCAGCTACCACCACAGTTCCCACCGCTGCCTGGCGACCACCACAGTTGCCACCGCAGCTTCCCAACGCCATGCAGTTCCCATTGTAGCCCCCGCTACCACCACATCTCCCACTACAGCTTCCCACTGCCATGCAGCTCCAGTCTTGGACGGGATCATGGTCTATTCGTATGCCCTGCGCGACTAGCCTTCGCCCGTCAGAAAAAGGCAGAGCAAGCAATGGCAGAAGTGACCGACAGAGCTTAGAGAGCAGGTCAAAACCCTAATCCGCCCACCAGCACGCAACATACCATAGCGCACCAGGTCGCCGCATCGCCAACGCGTGCGCAGTGCTTCTTCGTGCGCGATGGGCAACTTTACAACCAACATGCCTCAGAGAGCCCAAAGCCACCCTTGCGCTTGCCCACGGAGATTCCAGGGAAAGGCCCGCGTGCATTCAATATGTGTTTTTACTTGCCTGGTTGTAAAGTGCCCTTCCTGGTTGTAAAGTGCCCTTCTCGGATTTTGTAAGCTGGTTGTAAAGTGACCAATATGGTTGTAAAGTGCGCTTCTGGCTGTAAAGTGACCCACGCGCCCTCTTGGACCCCTCTTAGGGCCGTCTTGGGGCTCTCTTGGGCCGTCTTGGGCGCCTCTTGGGCCGTCTCGGGGCCCTCTTGGGGCCCTCTTGGAAGCCTCTTGGCCTGTCTTGGGACGCTCTTGGGGGCCTCTTGGGCCGTCTAAGAGCATCGGAAAACCGAAAAGGCGACAAGGCCCAAATCCTTCCAAAACCATCGAAACATGAATGATTTTGGCCTCTCGGGGCCCTCTTGTGAGGCCTCTTGGAGGCCACTTGGAGGCCTCTTGGGATGTCTTGGGGTCATCTTCGGCGTCTTGGAGCGCTCTTTGGGCGTCTCGGGGGCCTCTTGGGCAGTCTCGGGGGCCTCTTGGGGCCCTCTTGGCGCGCTCTGGGGGCCTGAGAGGCCGCACCCAGAAGGAAGACCATCTCTGAATCGGGCCGCCCAGGACCTTGCCGGGGTACTTTTCGTCCTGGGGCCCCCAGGGGCCGCCCCGCGCGCGCGAACCAGAAATATTGATAACCAGTTACCGGAGATCTTAGCACGCCTCTGGCCCGTTGGGCTGGCGAATTAAGTCGGGCAGGTCTCTCTCTACAAGAGGAGAATTCAAACATAGAAACAACATGTTGGGGCGACTTGTTGATTAGTTTCGTGATTTTTCCCGACCTAGGCTCTGCCTAGAAGGGTTCTTACTCTCTTGGCTTAAAGGGCCGGGCAGTGGGAACCGGCCCGGGCGGTTCCCCCAGTATCCGCCCCGCGGTTCCCCCAGCTACGTCCCTTTAGCTTAGCGTTGCTTATATCATCTTAGCTTAGCTTATTTCATCTTAGCTTAGCTTAGCTTCATCTTAGCTTAGCTTAGCCTCATCTCAGCTCAGGCTTATCTTAGCTTAGCTTACCTTCATCTTAGCTTCGCTGAGCTTTAGCATAGCAGAGCACAGCATAGCATAGCGTAGCATAGCAAAGCACATCATAGCACATCATATCATAGCCCAGCATATCATAGCATAGCGCAGCATAGCATAGCATAGCGCAGCGCAGCACAGCACAGCACAGCATAGCACAGCGCAACATAGCATAGCAGAGCATATCATAGCATAGCATGGCATAGCGCAGCATAGCATAGCATAGCATAGCATAACATTGCGCAGCATATCATAGCATAGCATAGCATAGCATAGCATAGCATAGCGTAGCAACTAATGCTGCTTTCCTAGGGGCTCCAATTTCTAGGTAGGGCCGCACTGGGGTAATCTATGTTCTGACCCTCTTTCATTTTCCTTCCAAAGTCCGCTTGTAGGAGGACATGCCCGACCTAATACTACTGCTAGGGAGGACATGCCTGACCTAGTGCTAATACTATGTACGCGTCGCCCCCCCCAGGGCCGACGCGCGCGCCGAGGAATCTCATACTACATACGTCGTAGCGGGCGCTTTCTGGCCATACCGGTCGGGAAGCGACACACTGCAAGGTGGGTATATTGTGTGCTCGGGTCGGACGCGCGCCTCCAAGTGTCGTACGAGTATGTCTGTATGCGTCCCATCAGGGGCCGTTGTCGAGCTTTCGGGGCCGCCGAAGAAGAGAGACCAAGACCCAGGGTGAGCGGCCGACCTCCCCGGGAAGGGGGTCGAGAGCTCCCGGGGCTGGCGTGATGCAGCCGCGGAGGCGTCGGAGTGTCGGGCAGGGCGGCCCTCCCTGGGCAGCAGGAGGCAGAGAGGGCCAGCCCGTGCTCGGCAGAGCACCAGGAGGGGTCTTCCCTGAAGTCGGGCATGTCCCTCTGCCCATCGGTCGTTGAAAGTAGGTGCTCTTGGATTCCCAGATTCCAATCTATTTCAAGCGCCCTCCTACTGCAATGATCGAGTGGCTTCACCTTTTCCGTCCTCCTTAGGGGGCGGACGGAACCCAATCTACTCTCAACGCCTTCCTACTTCATATTTCTACCTACTTCTTCCGACCGATGGGACAGTCGGGCGTGTCCCTCCACAGAAAGTAGTTTGGGGACGACTTTTCTACTATCTTTGACCATTCTTGCGTATTTTGTGGCTATGTTTTGTTGTTCTTCGAACATCCGCCTGTAGGAGGACATGCCCGACCGAAGGCCAGCCTGTGCTCGGCAGAGCTGCCTACCTCTGTTGGTCCCGGGAGGGGTCTTCCACGAGGCCCTCGGGGCGCCCAGTCGACCGTGACCCTGGCGTCGACGCCGGGAGCTCCTCGACCCCGTCCCGCCAAGCGCGTTCCACCCCCAGAGATCCGAGGATATGGTTGCGAAGGCCTTACGGCCGGTGCCGCCGACCCTGAACCCTGAAGGGGGAACGACGACGGCGGCGGCGGCGGCGGCGACGACAACGCTGACGTGGGTCAGAGTCCTCAGGGATGCTCTTTGGGGCCTCTTCGGAGCGCTCTCGGTGGCCTCTGGGGGGATGTCTTGGGGCCTCCTGGGAGCATCTTGGGGGCCTCTTGGCAGCCTCTTGGGAGCCTCTTGGGGCTTCCTGGGGGGTCCGAGGGTACGATTCTCTTTCAATCCAGAGGGTTCTCCTGGACGGCGGCCTCCGAGGCCCACTGCTGGGCCCCGGGGGCCCTCAGAAGTGGACCCAGGGCGACGGACCACCCCAGGGGAAGGGGTCGGGGCCTCTGGGGCCGCGGATTGAGAAGATCACATCGGCGGATGTCTGGGGCTACTCTTAAGTCTGGCCTGTTCCTCGACAGGAGGTATATTCCAAAATAGTCTAACAATAGTCTGGGGACTATTTTTTGATTCTGTTTGGGCTAGTTCGGAGTATGTGTTGAGTACTTCTAATTTTTCGCCAGAAGATGCGCCTGTAGGGGACACGCCCGATCTAAGACTTATCGCAAAGTGCACACTCGCAAACGTCTGAGATCGAAGAAGAAACAACGGCATTAACATAAACTTTGTTTGAGCTCCGCGCGGATTTCTTGGATCTGCGCTGGAAACCCCTGGCGGCGCCTCCGGCGCCGCCCCTGGCGCGCTCCGCGCGCCAGGGAGGGGGGTCCGGCGCAGATCCAAGAAATCCGCGCGGAGCGTCGACAGTTTATGCTTATGGCGTTTTGTCTCCTTCTATGGAAGACGCATGCTCGCCTTGATAAAGGATCGTAGGAATCTCCGCGGCGGATCCAGGCCGTTTGCGAGTAGTCACTCTGCGAGCAGTGGAACGCGCTTGCCTGCTCTCCCGGCGATCGGCCATTCATCCCAGGTCTTCCTTCGGAAGCCCCAGGAGCCCGAGAGCGGCCCCTGAGCCCACGTCGGAGGTCTGGGCTTGGCTAAGAGCCCCCGGCCCCCGACGTCGTGAATTCTTCACGACGTGGACCCCCAGGGGTCTAGAGACCCCTTCCCCAGGACAGGCTCTGCGCCCTGCGTCGTTCCCTGACGGCCCCGAGGCCTGGGAAGGGCCCCCCAGAGGCCGAAAACAGCGAGGAACCTCCCGTCGTGATCCTTCCACGACGCGAGGAGGTCTGGGGTCATCTGGCCCGCGGGGCGCCAGAGCGACCACGGCCTCGGCATCGACGCCGTGCTGCCCTACCCGTGCTCCCGCCGTGCCTGGGCGGCGGTGGGCCGGCAGCTGACCGGCGCGGCGCTGGAGAGGCTCCGGCCGCTGGCCGAGAGCCATTACCGCCTGGGGCTGCCCGGCGTGGGCGGCGAGGAGGCTCGGCCACGCGCAGAGGGGGGCAGCGAGGGGGTTGATGACTGCCCCCCCCTTGTGTTGGTGTTGGTGCCCATTTCCAGGCCTCCAACATCATGCTCCGCAAGGGCCCCATGCCTCGCCTCCAGGGCTCTCGTCAACGGGGTTGGCCAAAGCCACCCACGTGGACAGGTGACGGAGCAGGCCCATCCGGGTCCACAGTGGTCGGGGGCGGCAATGAGGGGGGTGATGGCTGCGGGGGGGGGGATATCATGGCGTGGGCCATGACATTTTCACAGATTCATGGCGCCTCTTCTTATTTCATTACGTCCCTGGCCTCCCCCTGGGCCGCGCACATGCCGCTGGCCATGATTTGCGCCCCCCTCCTTCCACCAAATTACCACCCCAGTTGGGGATACACCCCTCGAAACCCGCAGGGAACGACCTATATCCCCATCTAGGGGGGTAAATGGCCACGCGCAGAGGCTTTCTAAGGAGCAGCCTCCTTCGTAGAAGCCTCCCCCCTCCCCCTACCGCCTCTCTGCGCGCCGCCAAAGGCTCGGTATCGTTTAACCAATCCTCATCCCCATCCCCATCCCCTTCGAGACCCCCACCAAATTACCACCCCAGTTGGGGATACACCCCTCGAAACCCGAGGGGAACGGCCTATATCCATATCTAGGGGGGTAAATCGGCCAGCGGGGCCCAGGCCAGGATGGGGATCGGTTAAACGATACTCAGAGGCGGCGGAGCTGGAGGCCATATTGGGCGTCGTCGGGGAGATCTGGAAGACGACGTGCATCGGCGCTCGAAGAGCAGAAAACGGCGCAGGCATGATTTCTCGGGGCTCAGCGCGGACTTCCTGGATCGGCGTTGGGCCCCCCCAGGGGGCGCGCTCCGCGCGAGTGAGGGAGAAGGGGGCCTGGCGCCGATCCAAGGAATCCGCGCGGACCTCCGAGAAATGATGTCTTGATGCCTTTATTGTTCCTCTAGGCATCGTCAAGGAGGAGGGCTACGAGTCCGAGCGGGCCATGGGCTGCTTCCTGTCGCTGCACTTCCTGCTGCTGTGCCTCGCCGAGGAACGGCCGCGGTTGCGCGAGCACGCCTGCGCTACCGCGCGGCAGCTGCTGGACCTCGTGGGCGGCAGCCCGCCCCAGAACCTGAAGGCCCTCGTGCCCGACCTGGGCCGCTTCCTCGCGAGGTTTCTCCTCACGGGCGACGAGGTCCCGCTGCAGTCCAACGCGGCCGCCATCGTGCGCGAGCTGTTCAGCCGCAACGTGCGGTGGGTGCACCCGTCCTACTGGGCGTCCCCGAGCGCGTCGGAGGCGGAGAAGCAGGAGCAGGTGATGGCCAGCTTCGAGCAGAGCCAGTTCGGCATGAAGCTGACGGTGTTCCAGTCGTATCCGGCTGCCTGCGGCATCCCGCAGGGGTCGTGACCTCGGGAGGTGCGGCGATGCATGCGGGGGGACGCGGCGCGGGGTGGGGGGTCGGGGGCAGGAGGGCGGAGGAGGAGGAGGAGGAGGAGGAGGAGGAGGAGGAGGAGGAGGCTTATGAGGGTACAGGAGCCGTGCCAGACGGCCCGTGGCATTCTTGCCAGCTTCAGCGGCACGCTTCGGCGGGGCGCTCCGAGATGGAACCGCGGGCGTCAGGCCTGCTCAGCACTGCCGTGAGCGGGGGCAACCGACCGTGGCAGCGCGAGGCCTTTGCATTGTGCTGGCTGGGGCGTGCTAACACATGATGGGGTCGTGCACTCTCCGATGGTCCTCAGGACGCGTGCCAGCCCCATGTGGGTTTTCCCTCGCTCAGCTCCGTCGATGGGGCGCAGCCTGCATCGGCCGCCCGCTCCGTGTTGGAGGGCCTCGGCTGACAGACACCCGTTTGCTCTAACAGACGTTCTGAGGATCATCGAACCGTGAAAGAACAATTTGTTTCGGCGGCGAGCAAGTGGGGGAAGTGAGAAGGAAAAGGCCTTCTCAGAAGGCGGCGGGGGTTCTCAGAAGGCATCGCGCCCTCTGAGAGGTTTTCGGTGTCTTCGGGGAAGACTCAGAAAACTTCTCAGAAGGTCTTCTGAGCATTCTGAGAGGGCCTTTCCGAGCCTTCTGACACGGCCTTCCGAGCCTTCTGAGACTTCTCAGCAGGCTCGAGGGGGACTTCCGAGCCTTTCGAGACTGCCGTTTCCGTCTCGCTTCCTCCCCCGGGCTCGCCGCCGATTCTTCCACGCCTCGACGTGCAGGAGGCGGACTACATGCGGCGTCCCTGAGCTTATGTTCACCGCCAGCGGGGAACAGAATCTCCTCCTCCTCCTCCTCCTCCTCCTCCTCCTCCTTGTGGGCTTCCACGCCTCGACGTGCGGGGAGGAGGCACGGCGGCGGACTACATCCTCAGGGCCGCGGAGCTGGGCCTCAGCTCCGCCGTCGCGATGGAGGCCTGCGGCGGGCGACCGGGCGCGGAGGCGCTGCGCGCCTTCCAGGAGCTGGGAGGAGAAGGGAGGAGGGAGGAGGAGGAGGAGGAGGAGGAGGAGGAGGAGGAGGAGGAGG